GCTCAGTCAGTCAACACACCTGGATGCGTGTACGGCTTTCCGGGAGAAGAGAGCAGAGGCGCCCTGGGCTCCGGGTCAGCTCTGGAGAACTCGGCCCGGCCACTGAGCTCCTTCTACCGTGCTTCTTCAAGTAGGAAGGGCTTCACTGGGTTCGTGGTCTTTTCCTTCCGTTTTCCCTTGCCCATCCTGGGGCTCCGCCTACTAGACGGCAGGGAGACCTAGCCCTGTGTTCCACCCTTGAACACGGGGCTGCTGTCGGGAACCATGCTGTACCGGCATGCCAGCCAATGCCAGTGCAAATGTCAGGCTGGGGCTTGTGGTGCTTCTGAGAAGCAACGGAATATGGTATGTGGCTGGCCTGCTGGGTGCCACAAGGTGCCCAGGTCACTGTGACCCAGGGCTGCGTGCAGAAAACACCCCAGCAGAGGGCAACAGCTGGTCAGGAACGGCTGCCTGGAGGAGGTGGCATCAGAGCTTATTCTAGAGGTCAGGATGGAAGAAGTTCTAAGGCTCTAAACTCAGGGGTGCCCAACGGGCACTGTAGACTTCTCCACTGGTGAGGGTGTCACCAGCATCACGCACCCCGTGGGAGTGTCAGGTAGGGGTGGGGCTTTCAGAGACAGGAAGCAAGGCAGCTGCTGGAGGCCAAACCAGGGAGAGGCCCGACACAGAGCTCTCAGCAGCCCCCAAATTAAAGAGCGATTGTTTGCCAGAGCAACTGTGCCCCGCATAATTTATCCTGCCTCGGAAGGAGTCCTCAATGCATTATTGATTGAGAAGGACTCCCTCTTCCCCGACGCTAATCTCAGCCCATTCAATATTAATGATTATTTGCTTTACTGTCTCTAACGCTTGTCAGGGTTCAGGGACTGGGAGGCAGGCAGTCTCAGTTCTTAGGCTTAGTGAGGGTCCTGAGCCTGCCTGCCCGCCCACCCCCAGCTGGGCTCTGGGGTCTGCATCACCATTTCCTCAGGGGGGATTCCCCACAAGGCTGGGTCCCCGCCAGGCCCAGAGCTGGCTGGCTGGCCCATCTCTGTAGCCTCCCATCACACGGTGCCTGGCACAGCATCGGCCTTTAGCGAACAGAATCACTGAATTAATCTTACATAGCCCATCTGGCTAGCCTGTTCTGTCTCTGAACTGAATACCTGCTTCCCTCTTTAAAAAAAAAAAATCTTACCCCATTCTCTTGGCCCACTATCCCCAGTGTGTGCAGAGCCCCCAACTCTCACAAAGATCTCTGTGTCGTTGAACTCGGGATTTCTCAACGGTGCTGCTATTGACATGCTAGGCCCAGTAGTGCCCTGTGGTCTGAGTGCCCTGTGCAGTGCAGACCAGACCTCTACCCAGGGTGCCAGTTGTGGCAACCACAAATGTCTCCAGACGTGGTCAGTTGCCCCCAAATGGCTCTTCTGACTGAACTCTCTTGCGCTGCACGTGGCTCGCTGGACACAAAACAGCTCTCCCTCTGTACAGCTCGGCTCCTCTTTTCCCACGAGCCTTCTCTGGGGACTCGAGAAAAGCAGAGGGATGACTTTACTTCTCACCTCAAGGCAATTTAGCTACAGGTACTGAGGGCTGAGACACCGCCCACCCCCACCCCACACACACCCCGAGTCTTGGCCTCAGAATTTACCTTTCTGAGTGAGCGTCCCAATACGAGGGGAAGTCTAAAAGTGTTTTCAGGAGGGTCCAGTTCACTGACGGACAGGTTTATTTCCAATGAAATATGTTTACACACATCTCTGCCATCGCTGGGCGACTGCAGACGAGTTCTCTCAGTAATACAGCCCTCATCCCATTCGGGCCAACTCAGGTTATGTTATTGTTGGGACCCCAGAGGGGTCATCTGATAGATTTTTCCAAAGGACACAGGATGGTCAAGGGAGCTTATTATGAAGAAGCTTCAAGAAGATGGGAAACAGCACTGGGGAGAAAAAAGATCAGAGACTTGAACCACGGTGTTTTGTTCTTGATTTTTTCCCCCCATCACAACAGGGCAATTGCTCCTTCTTTGAAGGCAGCAAGGATTGTCCGAATACAAGTTTGCTTGGGAAATCTTACCCCATCCACCCTACAGCCATGAGCCGACTCCTTGACCCGTCTTGTTCACAACGCTCAAAAAATACTGAAACACAATTTGAGTCTCTTGATGGCCCCCAAACGGGCCTGTGGACATGGTGTCACTTGAAGGACACAGGGTGTTTCAGCAGAGGGTTAGAGAGATGGAAACACCGCCCTCACAGGTGGAGGGTGGAGAGAGAAACAATAGCCTCTCGTTTTTATATTTTTTGTTTAATAAAGATGTCTATGGTTTTGTAGCAATCCTATTTGGCTTTACCCTCATGTACTTCTTTTCTCTGTGCCTACAGTTTTCAATCTGTCCATCACCTTTCCTGAGCCCAGTCAGCAAGAGTTCTCGTGTGGTCTTTGAGAGGGAAGCTTTCACCCCAAGCCAGGCCCCCTTCCCTGAGATGGCTTAGGTAGTCCCCAAGAGCCTCAGTGCACTGCCCCCCACCTTGGACAGAGCTTCCATCAAAACCCTCACTAGGCAGCTGCAGCACCCATCCAAGGAAAAGCCTCCCCGTTGAACGCCAGCGCCTCTCCGCTGTGTGCCCCTCTGGGCAGACTGCCTCCCGGAGGTAGAGATCACATGGCCCAGGTCAGAAGTGGTGGCTGGTGAGATTCCCATGTGCCTCTCTCACTTTATAAAACTCTTTGTAGCAAGCACACAAAGGAGCCATCCTCCTTCAGACAGGCACAGCTCTGAAAAAGAAAGGGCTGGGGTGCCAGGCCTCTACAATTGGATTGTCATAGACGAATTCCAGCAGCCACGATCATGTATTACCTTTGAAAGATTTGATTTAGCCTGCAGATGCAGCATCGATAGAAATCTCATAGAAGCCGAAAGAAAGGCAGACAAATCCACCCTGAAAAGATTCCTGTAATGTTCAGCTTTCCGCTCCTATTAGCTTGTGATTAATCTACGTCTGGGGAAAGTGGAATGAGGGAAGAGGGAGATGAAAGAAATACAAAGGGAACGAAACCTCAGAGGAAAGACCAGGGGCTGTGAATTTTGCCTGAGTCTAAGCAGTAATCACTGGTCACCATGTGACCCAGGGAACGACTCGTGCCAGTGCCAGGAGGAGGGGACAGGAGTGGGGGCCATGGGGGCAGTGGGAGAGGGGTTCTGTAAGGCCTGTGCTGGCAGACCCCAGCCCCTGCCGACTCCCCATCCTCTCTCAAAGGGATTTTTGGAGTTCTTATAATAAGACAAATAATCAAATTAAGAAAACAGATAACCCCGTTTAAAAAGAAACATTTTGAGAGCATGAAAAGCAGAAATCTTTAAGAAAGGAGGGGCTTTAGATTTGGTTTGACGTTTCCTGGTTCCCAGTATCCAAAAAAAAGGTAAGTTTAGACCTGAGACATCCCACATGGGCTGAAAAGACGCCGAAGCACTTCCTGAGCAGAGGCCAAACGTGGGGCCTGGGGGGATGGGCACAGCCTTTGGTGAGACCCAGATGAGGGGGCCAAGCAGTGGACATGTTAACCTGGGCCTAGCATCCTCATCACGGGGTCGTGCGCTGGACGAGTGTGACCTTCAGGTGGGCGACCCTTGAAGGGCAGAAACAGCAGAAGGATCTCTCTATGGGAAGGGCAGACAGGTAGGTGCCTGAGACCCTTTAGCATCTCCAGGGCTGGGCCGAGCCAGGGTCTGCCTTTTCCTCTCAACCCTAAACCAGAATGTCAGAGGAGGCCTCTGGGGAATTGAACACTTCAGAGGCTAAGGGCTCTGCTCAAAGTATTGGGGAAGAGATTAGTGCCCCAAAACCAGGCGGCTGAGGATCAGGACCACCAAGGAGGCCCCTGCTCTATGATGCCCAGGCTGGTCACTACTCCCTACAGGGCTTGGGTCTCGGGAGATTTTTCCTGGAACCGTGTGGGTCAGAAACCTGTGCTCCTGCAGTCAGGCGACTAGCGCTCACCCGTTCGTGCTCTGGGGTACAGTTCTCACCCTGGGGTAAGTGTATTTAGGTGCTCCGTTCAGGAGCATTAGAGACATGAAGGGAAGGGGAAGCTCAAGCTGGGAGAAACACAAACACTACTTTGCTGTGTGTTCATTCTTGTCCAGGAGCGTGTGCATCTATTTGTCTGTATCACTTTTATCATAGTTAGGATTATAAGTACAATGGTCTTACTTCACTCAACTTTATAGCATGTCATTAAGTATTCTGGAAAGCATCTAAGTACTTCTAACGTTCCTTCATGTGGATTTCCATAATTCATCTAATCAGGAAGCGCTCTGTTGTTAGACACAGCACCAGGCCCACCTGGATTTGAATTCCAGCCCCCACCACTGGCTGCGCGGTATGACCTTGGGCAAGTAACATACCCTCCAGGGTCTGTGTGGAAAATAAAGAGTTCAATGCCTCAAGCCCAGACTTTATTGAAGACTAGAAATCTATGTGCAAAATGCCTGGTGCTTCAATCGCCTGGCCCCATAGTATTTATTATTATTTAAATTGCTTTCATTTTCCAGTGTCATAAGTAATGCTTCAGGAACATCTCTGAGCATAAATCTTTCTCCAGGACAAAGATCATTTCCTTCGGACACATTCTTAGATGTGGAATTACAAGGCTTTCCAGACTCCTGATACATAACCCCTGTCGCCTTGGAGACACCTCTCCCAGCATGCAGCCTGCGCCCCTCTTTGAAATCTTACTGTTTGGGGCTGAGGGACAGTGCCGCCCAGTTGTTGCTTGGCTTGATGAGTAATGAGGCTAAATAGTTTCCCAAATGGTGATCAGCAATTCGCATGTCGTCTTTGGGAATTGTCAGCTCTGTCCAGCCCCTTGCTTTTCTATGAGAAAACCAGGCCCATCCCCCCATGGGAGAAGCCACGTGACTGGGCTTCACACAATTAGCTTGTCCCCCCCTTCCTGCATTAACTGTGGTGCACGCCTCCATAGTGGCAGGGACTCTGCTGGGCCCTGGGGTACAGCACAGAGGTGAGCAAAGGGCTCCCCTCACTGAGCTGCAACCACAGACCCTCAGACTAATTGTGCACAGTTAAGGTATTATCATGCCCCCGCTCCAGTCCTGCTTGTTTCCACCATCCAGTAGGTTCCCCTGTGTAGAAGCAGGCTCCAAGGGCATGGGGAGGGAGCTGGGGAGTCTGGGAGAGCTGCCAGATCTCAATGAAGGTCAGGTCCATGGGAAGGACAGATAGTCGGGTGGACGTATGTTAGCTCACAGTGCACATCTCAGGAACTTCCACAAGGCTGATGGGGAGTCTGTCTCCATGGGACCGCCTACGTGAGTACCTTCTCTGTGCTCAGCGGGTGCCTGGGAGCAGTCGCAAGTGTGGCTGGGTGAATGGAGTGTTGGATGATAGCCCAGCACCTGGGGTCACCAAGAAGCCCACTTCCCACAGGAGATGTTCACGACCACATCGCCTGGCTTCCCTGTGGTCATGAGCAACACTGGGTGCTTGTGCAGTCCTCGGCCAGCCGGGAGTGGGCCCCGCTGTCTAGAGGTCATGCCCCTGGCTCCAGCCAAGTGGTCCTTTCTCTGATGGACCTGGGATGGAGAGGGAATCTGTCTTCGTCAAAGAGTGCTGGTGAAGCGTGGGTGGATTGTGTTCCCACCATTGCATTGTCCAGGAAGGGGAAGGCACGTGTGGCCCGAGGTCTCCATTTAACTCTGCAGAGGCATCCTGAACCCCTCCCAGGTGGCACTGCGGTCGTTCGGGCCCCCACCAGGGTGTGCCTTGGGTGAAGGGAAAGGGGGGAAGCACTGGCTCTTGGTTCTTTGTGTACTTGTATCACAAGGAGCATTTGTTAAGGACTCAGGAAAGTGGCTTTCTGGTTTAAGTGTTGGGCGATTAACCTCAAGGTCAGCAGTTCGAGACCACCAGCCATTCTGAGAGGACACGTTGAGGCTGTCTACTCCCATCAAGTTAGTCTCTGAAACCCACAAGGACAGCTCTGCCCTGTCCCATGGGGTCACTATGATTCAGAATCGACTTGATGGAGGCAGTTTGTTTTAGTTTTGCTGTGTGACTCTAAGGCAGTTATATAGACACATTAAGCATCAGCAGGACCATGTGGCCCTGGCATCTTCTGGTAACAAACTAGCCATTGAGCAAAGGACCCTCGGGATTTCTTTGATTCTGCCCCACGGGCGCCTGCCTTGGTCAGGGCACAGAGTTGGGGAAGGGCCTGGCTGCATCCCTGACCGGACTCACCCTTCACCCATCTCTCTCCTGCTCAGCTGCCACCCGGTCACGGGAGCTTGCACCTGCCAGCCGGGCTGGGCTGGCCACCACTGCAATGAGACCTGTCCTGCTGGCTACTATGGTGACGGCTGCCAGCTGCCCTGTACCTGTCAGAACGGCGCCGACTGCCACAGCATCACCGGGGGCTGCACTTGTGCCCCAGGCTTCATGGTAAGACAGAAGGGCCATTCTCTCGGCCGCCTCCCGGGCCCCTCCACCAGAGAGGCAGGGTGGGCGACCGCTGCCCAGCTTGGAGGGGAGGGGTGTGGCTCTGCACCCAGGGATAAAAGAGGGGTGTGCCTCCTTGTGTGCCCCTCAGAGAGCCCCTAAAGCTGTTCTCAAAGGGCTGATTCTGCTGGGACATGGGATTGGAAAGGCAACAGAAGGAGGGGTCTTTGCATCACTGCCTCTCCACCCTGAGACGCCAACTGTCTTTGCTGTGTGTGGCCCCATGCCTGTCTGCCCCCTTCTGCACATGGCGTCCCACAGCCTCCTAAGCAGCACACGCCTGCACCGCTGCATTCGGACTTCTTCTGCACACCTGCTGCTTGGGCTTCCGAACTTCCATGTGAAATGCTGCCCACCCACCCCTGCTGTGTGCGTGTGCGCATGCACGCACGCATCTCCGTTGTACCGCATTGCCGGGCCCTCCTGTGGACTTAGTTCCTTCAGGCTGAATTCCCAGGGTCCGTGTTGATGGCTCTTGATGCCTGTTGTCATATTCTTTTCCCCCAGGTTAGCTAAATCCGTACTGCCACCAGCCGTGGGGAAGGTACCTATTTCAGAACAACTTGGCCAACGTGATTGTTTTTTTTAAGTTTGGCTAATTACATAGGTAGAAAATGGCTCCTGGGTGTTGCTTTAATTTGCATTCCTCTGATTGCTAAGGAGAGCAAATCTCCGCCCCCACCCCCCCACCTCCCACCCCATGTGCTTGTGTACTATTTGTGTTTCCTCATGAATCATGCTGGGCTTGACAAAGTGTGATTCTGGGGGACTTGACATTGGCAGTGGAAACTTGCTCAAAGGCTGGTCATGCCTAGTGGGCCCAAGGGCCTACACACTCAGGGGTCAGGAGTCAGAGGTCAGCCATGACCACATTTGTGACTTTACCAAAGTCAGGGTTGTGCCGAAAGAGCATGGCCTTTGGACCCAGACAGACCTGGGAACCCATCCTGCCCACTGTGTGACCTTGGGCCAGAGGTGTGCCCTCCCTTGTGGTCCGTTCCCTCTTCCCGTGTGAAGCAGAGTGCCTGCCTTGCAAGGGCGTGAGGTGGGGACTACGGAAAGCATCTTGCAGCCACGCTTCTCTGACTTAAGTCAATGTGCAAAAGCCCTGGGATGGGGCCCGGGACTCTGCGTCTCTGAGAAGGCCCCAGGTGATGCTGAGGGCCCTCGTGTTGGGAGGAAGTCGAGGCTGCTGCTGTTAGCGACTGTTAAGCTGATTCCCTCCGGGCGAGTCCAGCGCTGATGTCCGGATGGCAGCCTTCAGGCCTTACTTCCAAGACTCTTCCGGGTGGGCCGGCCAACCAGCCGCCAGGCCTCCAGGAGGAGGAACTGGAATTCCGGGAGAGCTTGCCTACCCTGGTGCCTGGGCCGCGTGTTGTCAGGGGTGTGGTCTGCTGGTGGCCAACGAGAACTCACCGATGGGAGGCCCTGGGCGAGCGTGTGGACAAGAGGTCTTCTGAAGGGCAGCGTACTTTGTGGCAGGTTGCCCTTGGTCTGCAGGGAAGGTCACAAGCAAATCCCTGGCCACCTTCCCCATGCAGACGAGGCTGGGTGAAAGGGGCGTTGGCAGGGTCTTAGGAAGGGAATGCAGCCTGTTCCCCCACTCAGCTGACGCGTCCTCGGGGGTGTGAGCTGTGCCCCCCACTCCGTGGGCTCCCGGAAGTGCACTGGGTTTGGATCTCAGGAGGAGAGGAGAGACGAGTGGGGTTAAAACTTACAGGCTGAGGTGACTGAAGTTGGGGCGAATTATCAGCCACAGACAGCGACCGGGGTCTTGACTGCCAGTTCCAGCTCTGCCACTAGAGTGGGTCTAGAGCACTGAGCCTTCAGCTGATCTCTGAGAAGAGGGACTGTGTTCACGAGCCCTGATGGCTTTGTGGTTACGTGTTCTATCGAGGGGGAGGTTGGTGCTCGAACTCACCAGGCAGCTCCTCCGTGGGAGAAATGACTGGCGGTCTGTGTCCATAAGGATTACAGCCTTGGAAGCCCGAGAGGGTCTTTCTGGATCACTATGAATTGGAATCAACTCAACTGTGATAGGTTTGTGCTTGGGTGCTTGACAGATGCTCCACTCAGAAGAGCCCTGGTAGCACAGAGGTTATGCCTTGGTCTGTGGTTCACAAGGTTAGTAGTTCAAATACACCAGCTGCCCTACAGGAGAGAGGCTGGGCTTTCTACTCCAATAACGTTACGGCCTGGGAAGCTCACGGGGGAGCTGTCCCCGCTCTACAGGACGGCTATGAGTCGGAACTGACTCCGTGGCGTTGAGGGTGGTGGTGGGGTTTTTATTGTGTTTTTTTTGGGGGGGGTTATCCTCGGCAAACACACCCTCTGGAGGGAATGAGGCGAATGAAGGCAAGTGGGAGCAAAGAGGACTCTGCCCGGGGGGCTGGGGCGGGGGTGGGGTAGATTGAGGCTGCTCTGAGCTGGTCGTCTACATGTGTCCGTGGGTCTGGGTTCTCTCATCACCAAGCACGGTCTCAGCTCCTTCACCCTCAGCTGCCTCACCCAGCCACTGCTCCTCAGAGGGAGGGGAACGGGCCCTGGGAGGGTGCTGCGGGCACACTGCCCAGGTCAGGGCCCCAGCAGTCTGGAGGCCTGGCCGCTACCTCTCTTCCTTCCATCCGGAATGCAAACTACCTGCTGTCCTTGAACTCTGGTGACTCGGTGCTTGTTGAGGTTTCTCACCTGGCGCTCAGGGCTAAGACAGACTGGAGCCAGGCTGCCTGGGGACACCCTGCGAATTCCCATCCACCTCCTCCCGGCCAGGCTCATTAACCCTAGAAAGACTCTTCTGGGACCCAGTTGGGTGTTGGGCAGAAGGTGCTTGAGATGATGACGGCCCAGGGGTTGTCTTCACCACAGCACCCAAACCAGGGCATGGTCTGTATTGGGCGTCTCCGGTCGGCCAGGCTCGAAATGGGGCAGTTGGCGGAGCAGACTCAGCTCAGACCACTACCAATTGTGCTGAAGTTAGTGATAAGTTGGTTTGTGAATTCCTGTATCTGCCTTGGACCCTGGCCCCCACCCCTCACTCCTCGCTTTTAGTAAAGCTTGGGCAACGAGTTAAAGGCTATTTAAAAGAGCCCTTTCCTGGCTGTCTGGAGCCCTTGACCCCAGACGTGATCACCTTGGGCATGTGGGTCCCCTTGCCTCTGTTTTCTCGTAAGATGGGACCCTCGGCCCGGCCTGGCCTACTCTTGGTTGTGCGTGCCCTCTATGGGGACGGATGGACGGATGTGAGGCGGGGTCCTCGGGGGTCCATTTCCAAAGAAGCTGTGCAGCTAGGGGAGCAGGGTCTCATCTGAGGGCGGAGACACCTGTGTCCCCAAGGGCAGCCTCATAATGGGCAGGAGGGGAGAGAAGCCAGCTTCTCTGCCTCGCTCGCCCGACATTCCTTCAACGAGGCCTACCTAGACGACGGCCTTCGTGCCTACGGGACGGGCAGGGCTGCCCGGCCGTGCTTTCTCAGCCCCCCTCCCCGCCAGGAGCCCTGTGGCAGGGAGATAAGGACCCTGTGGCATCCCCCAGGCCGGTGCTTCATCTCAACCCCACTGTGATGGGAGTGGGGAGCGGGGAGGCGGAGGAGCGGGCCGGGGTCACCTCCCGAGGGGGTCAGAGCCTATATTTCTCCCCAGGATGACAGATTTTCTATTACCTTAAAGGGTTCATCTATTTTTACTGCAATTTTTTGAAGGCCTGTCTGCCTTATTGAGTCCTGCATGCGGACTCGGGAGCGGGCACTCCATCACCAGAGGAACACACTCCTTTCCACATTTTTCTCCCCGCCCGTCGTCCTCGTGGGGC